GTGCCCTCCCCTCCCCCCACCCACGTGGCTCCATGGCAGGGACAGAGACAGCGCACTGGGTGTGGAGAGGAGGCAAGAGAGGGTTTATTGCTGGGGATGTTACATTTATAGGGTTTAGGAGGATTCACAGAGTAACCAATTAGAAGTCTCAAGGGGCTTACAGGAACACCCAATCACAGGAAGAGGTTAACAAGGTCCAATGGGAAACACCTCAGGACACCTTCTCAGGACATTCCTGAGATAACACTACCGTGGAGGGTCTTGGGAAGAAGAAGCATGAGTTAGCAAAAAGACTACAAAAAGCCATTTTGAAACATGTTTAAACAACAGTTTTCTCATATAATGCAGGTTTAGTGCCACATATGGAAACGTAACCAGTTCCCAGGTGAAATTCTGCAGCAGCTTCCTTAAGCTTACACTGCAAGGCACCAAGAATTAGGAGTTTGTCCATTTTTAGGTGTTGGTTATGATTAGCTGTGCTTTTATGCTCTATTCTCTTTGTAACTGTAATTACTTTTTTTTCTTTGGAGTGTAGGACAAAAGCGGAAAGGAAACCACGACGACTAAACCAACCTCGAAGGACAAAGGAAAACCCAGAGACCCTAAAACGGTATAAACACACATACTATAGTGTGGACAGTCATGGTTACCAGGCACTGTAAACATACGAGATGGGCAGCTGGATTTTAGATTCATATCACATGGCTGTTATTCTGAGGAGGATATTACATCAATAGGTTGAAATGGAATAATTTTTACTTATAGGAGAAAGGATCCTGTCTGTTTCAAGGGAAGTTGGCAGTAAATGGGCAAAAAAATACATATCTTTCAGAGAATGTGGTCTTCTGCAGTGCATGCTCCACAGGCTTCTCCTTCCCCAATTTGCTGATCTAAGAGTCCTACTTCACATGCCTGTAGCTGCCTCAGGTGGGATCCTCATCACTTCTCTTCCTTGACAGTTTTGAGCAACAGCATTCCAAAAGTGATTAGAAAGTACTCCTGCAACCACACTCAAGTTACTATCATAATTTATTTTTTTTAAATTAATGAAGACCTACATACATTCATAAATAAATATGCAGAGTGAATCTGATGGGAAAGGGCAGGCAGCTGTTTCTGTATTCAAAGAAAAAAAAAGGAAAAAAAGGAGAAAAAAGATTAAAAGGGTTGCTTGGCTTTTGTCATCCCAAAGTACAGAAAAAGGATTCAGGTAAGGGTGAAACTTCTCCCATCACGTTGTTCTCTCACGAGGATATGCAGATAGATGCCTGAACCAGATGGTTAGATTTGGTCTGGAAATCTTAAGTTTCGCATGCCAAGTGATGAGATTTCTCATTGTTATTGTGAAATCGCCACAGATGTCTTTTGTGTAACAACAGAACTGACTGACTTAGAATTCTGGTTGTAAAATTGGAGGATGTCTCTAATTCTTCTTCAGGAGGGTGTTCTGAGCTGTGATTAAATTTTCTGTATTTCAGAGATCATATTTATGTCTGAACTGTGATTCTGATGAGTGTCTGTCACTGTTTGATTTCGGATTTTTAGCTTAGTTCACAGTTTCTCACTGTCTCATTCTCTCTTTAGGCAAAGGGACAGTCCTCCAGCAGCAAATCTGAGAGGCAGAAAACAAGCTAAACATTAAAACATTATCAGGTGAGATTTCTTCTTTGGGCTACTACAAAGACAACTCATGTTCATGTTATTAAGCCTAGATTTATGTTGTGAGGTTTATTTCCAGGTCACAGAAGATGAGCACTCTGACTTTTCTTTGGCTTTCTTCCCCCCAGGATCCTGGCACACCATGTAAAATGTCTTCTTTCTGTGGGTGGATAGTTACTCCTGAAGAACAAAAGCTGATGCTGAAAGCGCATGGTTATTCTGGGTGGTTTTTGTACAACGATACTTGCTGGACTTCTTTTTCATCTTTCCTTTTTCCCCAGTAGTAGGCTTGGGTGGTTTGTTTCTTTCCCTTACCCAGTCAGTTCATTATAGTCTGACTGTTTTTTAATTTCCTTTAGTGTTCAGAAGGAAAGAATGCTTCTGTTTGCAAGAAATATATTCCATCAATGAAGAGCAATGCCAAAAAAAAAAATTTCTGCAGACTTTTGCACATAACCTCCACATAGTGCCTGTAACTCTCTGAAGAGTTTGTATGTGCTAGCATTTTTAACATTGTGGTGAATGCCTTAAGTGTTCTGGAATATAGTGAGCTTTAGTTATCCTCAGCTGGGGCTGGCAGGCTTTGCTCAGGCCAGATCCTGGTAGGAAAACCACAGGTCATCTGTGGGTGGATAAAAGCTGAGAAACTGGGGATTAGCTGCTTCTTCCAGCACATCTGGTAATAAAGCAGGTATTTGGGATGCTGCCTTAACTGTAGTTAAATACACTAGGACAGAATTTTTTATTCCCCCCCCCCAGTTCCCCCAATTGTATCTGTACTGTTATAATTTCAGGAGTCTCCTGGACTGAACAAACACAAGTCTTAGTGTAACAGTGACGCTGCTACCATCACAGAAGGGGAAATTGAGAAGGGGCAATGAGTCTTGGCCGAAATCAAAGTTCAGGTCCACAGGCAGACTTTTTTTTTTTTTTAAATCTTGTTTTGCACTGTTTCTAGTCTGTTCCTCGCACTCCAGCAGGGAATGCAGAAATAGGGCCGAAGTTAACGCTGCAGGGAACAGTCCCATTTTCCTGCCCTGCGAGAGAACAGGCACAGGCAGGCGCGTCTCACGGGTCTGCTGCAGCCAGGGCTGTCATGACAAGTGTCTCCGTGGCTTTCCCTCTGCCTTCTTCCTCTGCAGAATATCCTTTTGCACATCCTTACACGTGTTACAGCTCCTCCCATCGGCTGCCGGAGGAAGGTCTCCTACCAACACCAAAACTCTGCTCTGGGGGGTGGCCCAGGAGGCAGACAGCCCGGAGACTGAAGTTGGGGATATTTAAGACTCGTGACTCTGCTTCCAGTCTGCACCGTGCCACACTAATAAAAGTTTTTAAGGATGCACTCTGTCGTTCCCGAGCTTTTCATTTATCCCTTGCTTGTGTCTTAACAGCTGTTGTAAGGCAAAAGAAAACCCTAGAAATAATCAAAAAACTCCAAAACATTGACATATTAAAATTGAAAATTCAAAACACCCTGAGTGTTGAAGAGTTGTGAAGGCCTTCACAAACTCATCAAAATCCTGCTTCAGTTTTTGCCCCCTTTCCTTTGGATTTCAAAGCTGTATCTGAGTTAACTAGGACTAGATCTAACTTGGGGACTCCCATTGTGCAAGGGAAGCAGCTAAAAGATCAAGACATAAGCCCAGAGTTTTCAGAAAAGAAATTACGTTGCTGGAGAAAATTCCAGTTAGAATTTGTGTTGAAATGTGCAGTGTACAAATAATTAACCATCACCCTTGGGGGACACTAGTGGGTTTTAGCTTCTTGGGCAGGTGTGATCTCCAGGTGAGAGAAGAGCTAGGCACAGTCAAATACTTGGGATTAATTCCAGATTATGTATTTTTTCCCAAAGACTTTACCTTTGTGTAGTGGGTTGGTTTCTTGGATTTTTTAGGCCTTCCTTAGCAACAGGGTCAGAAATCTAAGGAAGTATTCCATATCATTCCTTTCCGTAACACAGCATATAAAAGGCGCAGATAGGAGACCTTCACTCTCTTCGCTCTTCCGGTGGCTGAAGACGACAGGTCCCTCTTGCAGACGGTTTTGCTTGTATAGGCCAAAGCCTGCCTGCTCTGACCTGCTGTTATCTCCATTCCATTTGGGAGGCGTGGGGAGTTAGTTCTACTGTCCCGTTCAGGGAAGTATTTAATTTGGTTTTGTATTTATTCGCTAGGTCTCTATTGAAGGTGTATATTTAGAAGATATATGTTTTTAGTTCTTTTATCCCTGTTTCCCCCTCCCTTTTCTGTTTTCCCCCTTGGGAGCTCCCTTCTGTGTATAATATATTCAAATTGTATATATATAATTGTAAATATATATTTTTTATATAATCCGGTTGATCTGGGTTGCTCTCAGTTTCTATAATTTTTTTTTCCTTTCCTCTCTTTGCCCAAAGAGGGAGGGAGGGAGGGGAGGGTCTTTCACTGAGGTTTGGAGACTTGGCGGGAAACCAGCTCAAACTTGCTCACTTTGTTAAAAGTTTTCCAGCTGCTTCGGCATCTCCCTGGGGAAACTGAGGCAGGTTGGAAATAAAACACCAGGGCCTCGTGTCAAGGGCACAGTAGCAAGAGCAAAGAAATCAAGTACATTTAGGCACATGTGGAAGTTTGATGATTTTCTTCTTTTTTTAAAGTTTAGAACAGAACTGAAAGTTTTCTGCAGGTAAACAGAGAAGACCATTCATAAAAAAAGAAACTCCACGAAAAAAAATTCCACCTCCAAGATTTCAGCTTTGCTTTCTTGAGTAACAGTCACTTCCAAGGACAAGATACTAATTTTTTGCAGAGCAATTACCTTCTCATTATTATCCAACAGGTGCAATAGAAAGACCCTTAGGAACAACTTGAATTACAGTGTTAGGCAATATGTGAGGCCAAGGATGATGCTGCCTCAGGATTGCCTGGGGCCAGCACCAGTACAGGACTCCTGCTTCCCACTTCCCTGCATCATCCCTTCCCTGGAATACTGAAATCCTGCCGAGCCTACCCGATGCACAGCAGAAAGACACAACCCCTGTGAATAACCAGCAACAGCCAAGAAGGATTTGGCACAAACCAGCTTTGCCATAGAAGCCTCATAGGGCAGAAAACAGGTTTTCCGTGGCTGGAAAGCTCTAATGGGGCGGTTTTGGTGTAAGTCCCAGCCCAGAACATCCAGGCTGGGTGGGAAAGTAGAAGAAAAAACCAGTGTGGGCAGAGAAGGGCTGTGCCGGAGCCCCGCAGCCGGGAGAGCCGCACCCCCGGCGCTGCGGCCCCGCCCCCTGCGGGCCGAGCACGCTCCTTTCCGTTATGCTCCGCCCCCTCCGCCGTGGTCACGCCCTCAAGCCCCGGCGCGGCCTCTCATTGGCTGCGGCGTCCCCGGTGTTGTTATTTCGTTGTTGTTGTTTCGTTGTTGTTTCGTTGTTGTTCCAAACGAGAGCGAAAGGGGGGTGAGCCGAGTGTGAGAGGAGTGTGAGCTGAGCGTGTCACCTGCCACTGACAGCTCTGAGCTGTCCCTGTCACCTGTCAGTCTCCCCTGTCACTCTCCGCTGTCCCTGTCCCCTGCCGGCTCTGGACCGGACGCAGCCCCGGCACAGCCCGCGCTCCGCTCCCGGCGAGGCGCTCCCGGAGACCGACACTCGCTCGCCCGATCCCTCCCCTGCCATGGCGGTATGCGGCGGTCGCGGGCTGCCCGGGCTGGCGGGCACGTCCCCGGGGGTGTCACCGCTCCCCCCGCTGTCGCTGGACGCGGGACACCCGGCGGAGCTGGGCAGGTGAGGGGATGGGGCGCACTGGGGGGCTGCGAGGGGCTTTGGCCGCCCGCCCCACGCGGGACTCCCTCGACACGGGAGACATGGGCTGCCCCCACGTGGGGCTCGGGGATGGAGGGCACCGTACCGGGCCGCTTGGAGGATCTAGGAACCCCCGCTCCCTTCACTCCTCCGGGGAAGGGACGGGAACCCCGGGGCACTGACCCTCCCCCTCCCGACCGTCCGCAGGCTCTGGGACACCTCGAAGCGGCGAGGCGGGGGGCTGCCCCTCCCGCGGCTCTCGCCCACCCTGTCCCCGCAGCCGGTGGCCTCGCCCTGTGCCCGGGACTCCGTCTGCTCCCAGCCCTCGGATGCCGGTGAGTGATGGAGCTGCTGCGCCCCCACAACCGCCCCCTACCACCCCCCGAGCCGGGGGTCTTGCACAGGGTGCTGGGGGGAGTGTTAGAAGGTCCCTGGATATGGAGGTAGGGCTTGGCCCAGTGGCTGCCGAGGGAGGTTGAGGCGGGGGCTTCTGGGGGAGGATAGGCAAGAGCCGCCAGCTCTGCTCACTGGGGCTCAGCCACGGAGCACCCCGTTGGGGTCCCTGCTCAGGAGGACACGGGACATTCCATGTGGGACCGGTGCCACCCGCCTTGTTATCCTGGTGGGCAGGTTGACGGCCCCCCGTGAGGGCACAGCCGTTGCCCTTGGCCGTGGTCCCTCTCCGGCCCTGGCTGGAACAGATGGGAGCACAGCTGGGATGTGGGGGGCTCCCTGCCCGGCCGGATCCTGCCAAGGGCCCTGGGGTGGCGGCAGGAGCCCGATCCCCACCCCGGGGCTACCCCTGCCCCTTGTTCCCGCAGGATTGGGGCTGGACTCCCCCACACAGCACGACCCGGCAGCGGTGGAGGAAGTGTGAGTGCCCCATCCCCACGTCCCCCCCGGGGACACCCCCTCGCCTTCCCCTGCCTCCCACGGGCAGCAGTGCCCAGGCTCAGCCTTGCTCCCCCAAGCTCTTTCTGGGGGGTGAGAACCTGGACTGCTTGGGCTGGGATGTGGGGTGCCACTCCCCACTAAGCCCAGCTCTCCTCTGCCCACAGCTTCGAGAAAGCAATCCTGAATTCCAGGAGAGTTCTCCAAGGGTAAGTGAAGGGGCTCTGTCCCTGTGCCAGTCCCAAAAGCCAGGCTGTCCCTGTCCCAGACCTAAAACCCAGGCTGTCCCCATTTCCCTCCTGGAGCCCCGGTCAGTCCATCGATGTTTGCTCAGTGCCTGGATGTGGTTTTGTCCCAGGGTCCCTTTGGGGAGCTAGGACAGCCCTGGGCAGGTCTCACCCCTCTAGGAGGACCTGGGGGACACAGGGGACCATGGTAGAGGGGTGGCACACTGCTGGTCCAGGACACCTGCTCTCATTGAATCCTTTTCTTTCCCTGCTCTTGCAGCACAAAGCTCCATCTGCGGAGGATCCGCTCCTTGCCGGTAAGTCCTGGAGGCTCTGCAGGGCTGAGCACAGGGAGGCCGGATCCTGCTCTATCCCTGGCCGAGTTGGGAGAAGCAGGATGGAGCCGGGGTGGGGGGGGTTGTGCAGCACCTCTCAGCCCTCCCCTGTCCCACAGCCATGTCTCCTGGAATCCAGCATGATCCTGAAGGACATCTCCCACTCCAGGGAGTTCAACATCCGCAGAGGCCGAGTGCAGAGGGGCCAGAGGGAGTCTGAGGATGAGGTGAGGGGGGCAGCGAGGCCTGGGGAGTGCAGGGCAGGGGCAGAGGGGCACTAATGTTGTGCCCCCCCACCGCAGGAGGGCTTTGTCCCCAAGAAGCTGCCGACACTGGATCAGCAGAGCCGGCTGGCCACCAGACATGGGGCTGCCAGGAGGGACTCCCTGGCCACGAGACCCTGCTCCACATCCAGCCTGCTGGTGAGAGGGGCTGGAGGGCTCGGGAGGGACCCGGGGCTGGGGGATCCTGGGGCTGGAGATGGGAGCTGCTGCTCCAACCTCCCCACCTGCCCTGGAGACCTGTGGATGTTGGAGATGAAGGGGTTGAGGGGGTCACGGGGACACCCGGTCTCCAAATCGGGCAGGCATGGGGCTGGCCCCAGTGCTGAGCTCCTCACAGAGTTCCTGTGCCTGTGGAGATGGATGGACCTTGGTCATGGGATCCATCCCTGCCTGGGGCTGGGAAGCAGCCAGAAGGACTTCTTCCCTTCACCATCTCCTCTGCTGTCCCCCGTCCCTCCCTCAGCTGCCGCCCTGGCAGAGTGATGCCACCATGCCCCAGGGGACTGAGAACGTGCTGACCACAAGGATAACAAGGAAGGAGGAGGCAGAGCTGGTAAGTGGGAGCCTTGGAGGTTGAACAGAGCCCCAGGCTGCACCCACAGGGTTCTCCAGGTGGGGCCTCATCCCCTGCCCTCCTGGTGCTGGGGGCTTGCTGGACCCCCAGGCAGCCACACAGACTCTCTCCACAGCGTCCAGGGAAGTGCAGCAAGTGCCGGCAGCTCTTCTGCTCGCCCTTGGGGACCAGCAGGGCCATCAGGCCCATCCTGAAGCGGGGACACCCCTGTGATGGGGACACCCCTGTCAAGGCCAAGCAGCACAGGAGGGTGGCCAGCACGCCCCGCGAGGAGGTGTCACTGGAGCCGGTGGGGAAGCCCTGGGGGGAGATCCAGCCTGTCCCTGTGGATCCAGGACTGTGCCATGCCCCGGCTCTGCTGGAGCCCCTGTTCACATCAGGGGGGCTCTGCTTTGTATCCCTACAGGAAGAGAGGCTGCAGCATTCCAGGTCTGCCCAGCATGAAGAGATCAGGAGCCTGCCAGACAGTAACGATCAGGAGCTCATTGGGGACTTCTCCAAGGTAGGGCCACGAGGATGGGGCAGGTCTAGGGGTGACAGGGACCACCATCAGAGCCCTGCATAGGTGCAAGAGCCCAAACTGACCTGGCAGCCCTTGCCTGGGGACATGGGGCCTTGGGGCTGTGACTTTCCAGCCTGCAGCCCGCAGAGTGGATGAAGAGCCCAATCCCTGCTCCTCTGGAGCCACCCCAGTGCCACAGGCACATCTGCCCTGGGCAGACTGCCTCCCTCCCCTGGGAACAGAACTGGCAGCTGAGGGGGCTTCTGGGCTGGGGGAACAAGTGGCACCCTCTAGGAAGTGTCCCTGGGATGGATATGACTCCAGAGCCCATGGTCTCCTCCAGGCTCACCTCCTGCCAACGGTGAAGGGGAAGGACCCAAGCCTGAAGTACATCTCCCCTGACACGGTAAGGGGGCAGCAGCCTCTGCCCAGCCCCCCTGTGGGGCTGCCTGCCTGCTCCCTCACCACCCCCCAGGTGTTCCCCCTTGGTGATGGACTCCCCCTGCAGTTGGTGGCAGTACTGACTGGGCAGTGGAGCAGCTTCATCGAGAGCAGCATCACCGTGGACTGTCGGTACCCCTATGAGTACGAGGGGGGCCACATCAAGGTCAGAATGGCTCCTGTGCCCCCTGGGGCTGGGAGGAAGGGGGTGTCTGAAACCCACCAAACCTCAGAGGTGCTGAGACCCCCACTTAAGGTCGAGCAGTCCCCTCAGGAGGTGCTGAGACTACCCCAACAGGGTTAAAGAGCCCCCCCAGGGGTCACCAGGGTTCCCCAGAGGGGTTGAGTAGGCCCCTCAGCAGTGCCAAGCCCACTTGGAGGGGTTGATCCTCAATTGGAAGGAGGAGGGGGATGGTGCCCAAGTAGGTTGGGGGATGGTGGTGGTGGGGGGAGACTGGGGGCAGCATCCTTATGTCCCTGCAGATGAAATGGGAGGCAGAAGGGGAAAAAGGTGCCTCCTGTCCCTCCCCAGGGTGCTGTCAACCTGCCCCTGCAGCAGGATGTGGAGCAATTCCTGCTGGACCAGCCCATCCTGTCCCTGGACACCAGCAAGAGGGTGATCATCATCTTCCACTGCGAGTTCTCTGCTCACCGCGGCCCCAAAATGTGAGAGGGGCAACGAGGGGGGGAGAAGGAAGGCATTGGGCTCTGCCAGCCCCCCAGGCACGCCCAGATCCCGGCACCCGATGATCCCGTGCCCTTTCCCTGTGTCCCAGGTGCCAGTTCCTCAGGGAAAAGGATCGTTCCTGTCACGAGTACCCCCAGCTCCACTACCCCGAGCTCTATGTCCTGAAGGGGGGGTACCGGGACTTCTTCCTGCAGTACCCGGTGAGTGCCCCCACTCTGTCCCTGTCAGCAGGGCGAGGCCTGGGGACATGAGAGGGGAACGCCCTGGAACCCCGTGTACCCTGCCCAGCCCAGCGGGGAGGGGGAGCTCTGGCTCTGAGCATCCTCCGTGAGGGCAGGATCTCCAGGGCCGGGGGACCGGGGGCGCTGGGTTTGCCCCCGGCTGGGTGGGGGCCGGAGGCTGCGCTGCGGTCGGTGACAGGGCCGTGGCTTCCCAGACACACTGCGAACCCCAGGACTATCGGCCCATGGAGCACGGGGCCTTCCAGGAGGAGCTGCGCCAGTTCCGCTGCCAGAGCAGGCTCCGGGCGGGAGAGCGCAGCCGGCGGGAGTTCTGCAGCCGCCTCCTGCCCCGCTGAGCGCTCGGGGACCCGCAGCCCCTCCGTGGGCAATAGGGGAGCTGGGAGGGTGCGAGGGCTTCCCTTGGCCGGGCAATGTGCTTTGGGTTGGTCTGGTTTCTTAGGACTGGTTTAATGTAGAGGCTATTGTTAGGAGTGGTTTAATGTCTTAGTTATTATTAGGATTGGTTTAATTGGTTATTGTTAGGAGTGGTTTAATGTCTTAGTTATTGTTCGGATTGGGGGTTTGTGCCTTCTTTATTGTTAGGATTGGTTTATTGTATTGCTTATTGTTAGAATTTTGTTTGTGTCTTGTTTATTGTTAAGATTGTTTTTTCATAGTCTGATATCAAACTCCTAAGGTGGAAGGAAAGAAGGAAAAAACACAAGATACTCAATTAGCTACATAGAATATTCCTGAACTACTTTATTTTGTACAAAATCAATGCACAAAGACCTTCATAGCAGCAAATTACTTCCTTTATTGTAAATGTGGCAACGACTTTAACCACAATCCAGTAAAGGTGTTCCATGGTTCTCCATGTCCTTCAGAGATAAAAAGTCACCCCCAAGGAAATGGGTGGTACTGACAAGCAGCACAACTGGTTTCCAATATGGTCGCTTTTTTCTTACTGTGAAATTTGCTGGCACAAAATTCTTTATACTATGATTTCAGCCAAAACATAAGAGAAAATGTCACTGTCAGAATGGATAAACATCATAATAATAGAGATTTATTTTTATTTTGTTTCTCTTTGAAAAGACTTTTGCTATTCCTTCTAGCAGGACAGCTATAGCAGGCTATAGAAACTTTGCTCTTACTGCATATACACCAGATACAGAGTGCATGAGAAGTTTCTTTTTCAACATAATTGATTACATTTTCAGCTGAAGAAAATGCATTTCTTCCCCTCAACAGCAGAGGAATGAAGATTTTATGTTTAGATCTTGCTGGATCAGCTAGATCTCACTCCTTTAGTAATATGGTTCCAGGCTGCAATCTTATTATTATAGGGTTTTTTTAGGGGAGCATTTATTAATGCAGCTTCCCTGAAAAACAAACAAAGAAATGATCAAAAGAAACCTCTCAAACAAGAAACAAACCTTAAGCATCTAGCAACTAGATTCCTTTATATTAATAACAACAACAACATAGTTTCAAATAAAACTCAACTACTTTTAGATTTAATTTCACAGACAGGAACTACAAAATGATCAGGCATCAAACAATTTTCATATGCACAGGGAATAATACAAAAGCCATATTTCTTGATTTATATGCTATGGTATATGTTTATATACCATGAAGAAACAAATGATTCTGCTTTCTGGATTAGAGCCTTGAATGGTTTAAATAATGGAGAGTGTAGCCATTGCTCTTTCTTGTGCCAGCCAGCTGCACTAAGCCCAGAAAAGGTTCTCCTTCACAAAAAGCAGTGTACTCATCTTTCCAGCCTGGAAAGTGCTTTCCCCAGAGCCAAGCAGTGGATTGTTAAACTTTTGATGCTACAATAACTCTGTCAAAGCCTTCAGGCTGATGTCGATGATAAGATTTACAGTAGCCTTAATATTTATTGAAAGAAACTAATTGTAATTATAAACACCTAGGAAAATAATCTTATTTTTCTGTATGGGTTTTTTTTTTGCTATTATTATATTTATGACTTTAAAAAAATAAGAGAGACAGCACTGCCCTGGGGTTGCGTCATAGCTGGAGGCTGACATGTTCCACAGGAGAGATAAATCCACCTCTGATACCATAATGTGGAGCCTTCTCCTCTTCCTCCCACCTTGCATGGCCTTGCACCTCATCTGTCAGCTTTCTGATTATACCGTGGAATGGAAGTAGGGCTCAGGTTTGGAATTTATTTCCAGGACTCAGCCTATGGGTTTTGATTACTTTCATATGCAAGCATCCATTTTTAACTGCTGAGCAGCATCCTAAAATGGATGTTTATAATAAAATTGAAAATCTTCAGCTCATATAACTTAATTACAATGCATTAGTATGATGTAGAGGTACATTTCAGAGGTGATAATGGTTGTTTTCTATTAATGTGTCCTAATCATCAGCAAAGCCTTGCTCACACTGATCTTTAACCCTTTTAGAAGCAGTTGATGGTAATGTACAAGGCCAGGGGCACTTACAAGAAAACCTACTGTTTGTTCACAATCTGAAAGCAGTGCTTAAATATTAATGGTTATTATACAATACAATTATATACAATATCTGATGATCTGTTAAAATATGGATTAAAAAGAAGATAATATCAAAGAGAATTAACTTTTAATAAAGTCAGTGTTACCACACCAGTTTGGCTGTCAAACAGTACATTTCCACTCTTCTAATTATGAAGGATTAGTTATTTAGTTGTTCATTTTTAGTATGGGTCTATATTGTTTGGGTCTACAGCAAAGTAACAACACACCAAGCCTGACTCTTTCTCCAGGAGTCTTTACAGCCTATACTAAAGCCTCATTAAGCTTTTGTCCTCCTCAGAGTGTCCAGCTGCATATTCTGCTGTAGTAAAAGGGTGATAATATCACTGAATACTTTGTATTACAGAAAAATATGTAACATCACAAGAAATGGGTAATAAAACTTAATTCAGCATTATGAAACTTAAAATTACAAATGTTTCTTCATTCTCAAGATGCACAGTAGAATTTCTCCACCCTATATATTCATAGACTTTGAACCTTTAACCACTGCAATTTATACTTGGCCATTTGCATTTCACTCCAGGGGCACTTTTGTGCTGTGAGCAGCACAGTGCAGAGACAGTGATTTTTTGCTTAGGTGACTTTGTGCACCCAGTGCAGAAGTGAATCCTGCAAACACAAATTCATGACATGAAAGTGTGCAGTGATGGAACCAAACAGCACCTCATCCTTGGACAGATATATCTAGTTCCAATTCCAGGCTGGAACCACTAAAAAGCTATTATGGCTAAAAACATAATGTCAGGCCACAGAATCAACTTAGCCCCACCCTCCTAAGTGTTTGAAGTATTCATTACAGAGGTTAAAAGGATAAATTTCTAATGCTGGTAGTACTCACTTTCTATTTTGAAGTAATTTTCTTTTCCTTATCGTCTCCCCCCAGCAAGTGTGATACACACTGTTTCTGACTCCATTAACCCCTTTAAAACCTCTAATAAAAATCATGAGGTCATTCTTTTTAACTTTTTGTCTATTGTGTCTCTCTATTTGTACCTCTTAACATTTTTTAAAGCCATCGCTGAGCTATGAAGCCAATTGTCTGGTCATTTTTTATTCAGCTGCCTGGCAAAATTATTTTTGCATATTAGCTACCAAAACAGAAGTATTCTTTCCCAGCTCTCTGCTGTGTGAATTTACACAGACAGTCTTTACAGCATTGCTTTGGGAATTCTCTTACTCCAACATGCAAATGCACCAAGCCTGGCATAGGGGCCTTATTTCTGCCAGTTCAGCATATGCAGAACTGTACATCCACTATTCCAAAGCCTTCTGGAGGCAGAAAGGGTGTGTGAGTGTCAGTAAGTGGGTCTGTGTCAACTCTGCTGTTGACTTGAGGTCCCAAGTGGAGGTAACACCACAGAATCATTGAGGTTGGCCAAGACCCTTAAGAGCTTTGAGTCCAACTGCACTTCCAGAGGCACACAAGTCATCGCACCATGTTAGGGCCTGGCCCAGGCTTTCAATTCCTGTTCAGCCCCGCTTAGGGCCTGTGGGAGTAAGGGAAAATCTCTGGAACTGACCAGCAGAGCTACAGCCCCTGCACCTGAACCACTGTGCCATTATCAGTTGCCCCTGTACACAAAAAGAAATGGATATGAAAGGCATCTTATTTAGTAAAGGAGGACAAGGCAGGCTAAGCAAGGCTATCACAGGAGCAGGAGGAAGAGGCAGAACAAGAGATATCCAGTTGATCCCTACCCTTGAGTGAGCTGCAGGAGAGATGGAAAGATTTCAGCCACCATCCAGGTAACCACATTGTCACCCGGCTGCTCTGATGGTGGAATAATGTGACTAGCGGTTTGGAATCAGAGGATAATGAAGCCAAGCAGCTGGGGTCACTTTCTAGGGAAGCAGGCATCAACAAAGCAATTGGAAGAGAATGACTTGTGACATTGACTTGACTAATGACATCCTTGTGCTCTTTGCAGAGGAGGTGAGAGTGCTGAAGACCCATCCAATATAATAAATAATCTGAAAGTGAGAAACATTATGCCTTGCTTAATGATGCATCCTTGCACTGTAGGAAAGCAGGAGAGAGTGAAAGTAGCTGTACAAGCTGTGGAAAATGCTTTTACTATTATTGTTGTGTTTATTGCAATTTTCTCAGCAAATTGTGACCCCATCTTAAAATATCTCCTAGTATTTTTTCCTCCAGTATTGAAATGGGGCAGTTTGAGTGGGCTTGGTTTTCCCACTGAGTTTTAAAACCAGCACAAGGGGTAAATGCATCTGGGCTGCCACATTGTGGCATGATATTGTTGCTTGGGTGGAGAACCTGTTTGTAAAGGTGATTCATGTTCATGTACACGAGAGTTGAGTCAATGAAGAATACCCGATTAATCAACAGGTGTCTCCAGCTGCTAACAGTGAAGTGGATTTGGATTGGCAACATAAGGATGAGTAATTTCTGTCTCAGTGGGCCTGTGACAGCTTGGGCCATCAAGGAGGAGATGCAACATATCAATGGGCTCATGATCGAGGGGTGGACTTAACCATGGACACTATCACACAGGTGTCTTGGGTTTACTAGCCCTCCCCTGGAACTGAAGAACGCCTCTGCAAATTACATATTTAAGTAGCCGGAAGAGAAGGCTTGTGGTGCAGAAGAAATTAGAGCCACTAAGCTGGCAGAGGGGCCGCCCTCCCCCCCGGGCCTGGCCCAGGGGCAAGTGTGGCACTGAGGCCAAGCCAGGCCCCTGGCTCAGACGTGCAGCAGAGCTGAGAAGAAATTCCAGAGAGCGAGAGAGAAACTGCCCAGGAGTTCTCCGGCCAGCCTCGCCGCTTCCCCCCACTGCAGGGAGAGGTGGTGGCAGCCTGGCCAGGCTCTGTGGTGCCTGGTGCAGCAGCAACGCACGACCCGAAGCAGAGCAGCCCAGAGCAGGCCCAGAGCGGCAGTAGTGCATGGCACGGAGCATGTCGGGAGCGGAGCAGAGCAGAACGAAGAAGAGAAGCACAGCTACCACCACCGCTTGGATTTGCAACAGAGAGAGAGAGAAGCCATGCTGAGCAGGTTTATTCTGGGTGGAACTCTGGTGAAAATTATCAGGGTATAAAGAGACTGAGATGAACACCTGAGGAAGGCACTCGCTGAGAAAAACAACTGTTGCAAAGATGGTGACAGGAGCTGAGGCAGGTGCAGGAAGAAGCAGAAATGGCCAAGCACCTGCTTGGGATTGATACTATGCGACACTGTTACCAACAACTAATACAGAAAAGGACTGTTTTATTGTTACCAGGTTTTACCAAAGAACTTGTTCGGACAGTTTTATTCCAAGTTTTTCCAATTTCAATGTATTTTCCCCTCACAAATATCTCCATTTTTCCTACTGGTTCCCATCTGCTGCATTGCAGATACTCTCCCCATTGGCTCCTGTTGATTCCATATTCCCTCCTTCCTTCCCTGATTGGCTTTTTCCCCTGCCAGTCCCATGCTCCTCCCTCCTTTCCAGCACCTTCCATCCTGACCCTATATAAGTCCAACCCCTGCCTCAATAAAGTGTGGTAGCATAGTGATTGCTCCACCATGTGACACCGTGTGTCCATCCTTTACTTCGCCTGAACCTACTGGCTGTTGCAATCCCCTTCCTACCCCAGACTGTGGCAAACCCCAGAACCTGCGACCCAGGGGAGGGGTAGACCTGACATGGAGGGGTCCTCCGAGAGCTTATTCCCCTGGGAGGGACCCCATGGAACAGGGAGAAGACTCAGAGCTTTAACTTCCTGTAATGCGTGGTGAAGATCATGGTGTAGTGAGTTGTCCCCTTGCAGCCCATGAAAGGACCTCGGGGGGTGCAGAGACCCCTTGCACCCCTATTGGAAGAGAGACTTTAGCTATTGCCCTGAGAATTTCTCCTCCGGCATTGGCCAGGGGGCCAAGGGGTGGTGAAAGTGTGTTTAATACTGTATATTTCATGACTTTTTAGTTTCTATTCTGTTAGCAATAAATTTTAATATTATTCCTCACATTGAGTCTGTTTTACCTGTTGTGGACCTCTCCCAACCTTTTAGCAATTTTGTGGGGGTTTGAAAAATTGGGCTAGAGTAAACTCATGACAGCAGGTTACCCATGAATGGGAAACATGCACTGCAGATAGGCAAGTCAAGTGTTTAAAGACTCTCTGCTATGGAGAACTATGGCTGAAATATAAATATGGGGTGCCCTGGCAGATTGACTATCTCACACTCGCACAAACCCACCAAAGCAAGTGCCGTATGCTTGAAATAGCAGAAGCAATCACTGGATGGTTGGAAACACAGTGTCCTGGCCCTTGAAACATGATATTTCTGAAAGAATTGAGTCAGACAACAGGACTCATTTCCAAAACAATCTTATAGACGCTTGGGCCAAAGAAAGTGGCTGGAGTGGGTATTGATGCCAAGAAAAAGTGGCGGCGGTAAAACTCAATAGCCACAGGTGCTATTAGGCCGGTATTTGTTTATTTCAGTGCCAGATTTGCGGGGGATAGCTCTACCTAACACACACTTGCTCCCCCTTCCCAACTTCTACTTTATACAGTTAGCTCATGTATTCATAGCATATTTTTACGTATTCATGACCTTTCCGAGAGTGGGTGATGTTTTATTTAAATCTTGGGACACGCCTTCTGGCATCTGTGCACTTGTTTCTGGTGGTCATCTCCAGTGGTCATGGGGATGAAGGCTCAAACTCTTCCTCTCTCTGAACTTTTCACCCTGTTCTCGGAGCACGCGCAGTCCCTCAGTACCGTCTCACAGCGACAGCTCCTCATTGGCTGCCCATCTGCTCAGCACCTCATTGGCTGCTTATTTGCTGCATTTTGCTAGTTACACGCCCTCTCATTGGCTGCCCCTTCACGCCATCACGCAGCTTTCCCGTTGGCTGCTTATTGCCAGCTCCTTATTGGCTGCTTATTGGCAGCTTCTTATTGGCTGCTTTCCAGCAACATGGCTGCTCTCTTAGCAACAGCACACGAACTGCAAAACTATACTATTTAAGTTACGCAGACTAATATTTTCGCTTATCAGTATATCACATGCATCAGCATCTAGGAAAATTGAAAATCAAGGAACTGTGAAAGGCTACATGGAGAGCAATGGATGATGGGATCCTCAAACACTGGGATACATATTTAGCAAGAGCCACCTGATGAATCAGGCCTGTGGGATCTGCAGTCAAGCTGGCTCTGCCCCATCAAAACCCTTATGTATCACAGAAGGGAATAAAGTTCATGTTGTGCACATTAAAAATATACTGAGGAAAACAACCTGGATTATTCCTGCCTCAAGCAAAGGCAAGTCCATACACAGGACTACTTCTGCTCAAGGACCTGGGTGGGTGCAGTTGGTGGGTCATGTGGGAGGATGGGGAAGTCCAGTGTGTGCTTCAAGGGTATTTGATTCTGGGTAAGGATGGACAATGAATCAAAATGTGTGATGTTAATTGCTGTATAATACTGCATATTATGATTTCCATGGTACTCATATGCCCATCACCACCCTGGGTGCCTTCCAATGCCTGTTTCTGCCACTCCACATTTGGGAATCTGAACGTGACTCCCTTTTGATTGTCACATTAATGAAGAATGAATTTTGATAAGAGTGATGGAAACAGAACTGGCATCAACATATGACAATCCACACTATCTTTCCTACCCTGAAACAGTTACAACAGATGGAGCCCAAGGTCAGACTGAGTGAACTCAGTGGATTTTACAGAGATGGTCCACAGACCAATGATAGCTGTGTATATACATATATCAAAAGACAGGAAAGATGCATTAGGAAGTGTAAGACCCGGCATAACATAAATGGTATGGAATAAGGGTGAATAATGTCCCGGTTTCAGCTGGGACACAGTTAATTTTCTTCTCAGTAGCTGGTGTAGTGCTGTGTTTTGGATTCAGTATGAGAAGTGCTTACCCTAAATTGAGGACTTTTCAGTTTTCCATGCTGTGCCAGTGGTAG